TGCTGTGGCAGGTAAACACTGGAGTGGACCAGCACAATGAAATGCCACAGAACCAAAAAACTATTATATAAATATTTTAAAAGGGAAAATTTTTTCTAGTAAATATTCTCAATGGGGATATCTTTGAAGACAAAATATTAAAGTCAGCCTTGAAATATCTCTTAATATAGTATGAAAAATGTCTTTCATGAGATTTTACTTTCTATGTAATCCATAGCCTGATTCTTTCTTATAAACCTTTGAAAAGTGCTGTGAATAGAATATAGTGTACTAGGGATTCAAAAGGTTTGATTATCCATTAACCATTTGAGGATTATAAGATTACATTTCAGGTAATTTAGAGTAAGATTTTAAAACATGTGGATAATGATGGGTATCATATCTTCAGATATGATACCCAAATATATAATTTATCTGTTAAATTTATCGAGATTCTTAGAAATATCTCACAGTTTCTTTTTTTTTTTTCTTGAGACAGAGTCTCGCCCTGTTGCCTGGGCTAGAGTGCTGTGGCGTCAGCCCAGCTCACAGCAACCTCAAACTCCTGGGCTCAAGCAATCCTTCTGCCTCAGCCTCCCGAGTAGCTGGGACTACAGGCATGTGCCACCATGCCCGGCTAATTTTTTCTATATATTTTTAGTTGTCCACATAATTTCTTTCTATTTTTTTTAGTAGAGATGGGGTCTCGCTCTTGCTCAGGCTGGTCTCGAACTCCTGAGCTCAAACAATCCGCCCGCCTTGGCCTCCCAGAGTGCTAGGATTACAGGCGTGAGCCACCGCGCCCGGCCTCATAGTTTCTTTTAAAGCAATAAACTGAATGACATATTCACTTAAAATATTGTTTCTAACCTATTAGTATCAAGTAGAAAGAGTTCATATTTTTGTTATGCCAAGTAATAATTCAAATAACTCCCTAAATCAGTTTGTCACAGAATACATTATTACCAGACAACATTGTTCCTTATCAAAGAGAAACAAATCATTGCATTAGTCTCAAAATTTTTGTGAAAATTAAGTAAACCATGAATGTAATTAAACTCCAAAAAATGCATTAAAGAATTACCGAAGAAGCAACTATTACTCTGAGTGTCAACACTGGTATAAGAATTAAACAGTTTAACCTGATAGGGCTATTTATTAATCTTGCTGGGAATGAGTCCCATCATTTAAAGTATGGAGACTCCATACTTCTCTCTTTAGATCCTTAGTAGTAGGTCTAAAATGTGGGAAACCTCAATTATACCAATTTGTTAATTTTTCATGAAAGTTGATCCCCTTCCGTTGTGCTTCAGTATTTCACCAATGTTATTGCCTATAAATATTGTGAGCACAAACTAACAACATAATACTAGGAAAGTTTTTATGAACCCTTTGGACCATTTGTGACATTGATAATGGCAGAATTCTTTCCAAACACATTTCTTTCCTCTCAAATTCTCTAATATATTCTTGCATCATTTCCTCTTCCTCTCTATTTTTTAATAAGATTTTTTTCTAACTATGAAGTGAATGCTCATTACAGGAAATTTGACTAATAAATAAAATTAAAAGAAAAAATACCCATAATTCTACCAATTTTTTCCTCCAGGATTTTAATGAAATATTTACAATCTGAACAAGGTGTTTCACATCTTTTTTCAATGCTATGGAAAAAAATCTTTAAAAGAATTCACTTAGGCTTTTGGTAAATTTGTTTAACATGCATGGTTAATTGTTAAAATTAATGGTTAATTGCCTACACTGTCTTTACCAGGAAAGCAGTAGAGATATTACCTAGCAGGTACAGTTGAATTTAGAAAATTAAGCACTAGCATTATTTGACTCCACTGTAGGAGTTTCTTCTCCACACACTTCATTTTAATAGACGTATAAATGATGACTATGATGTATGGAGAGACTTATTTAATGATATAATCTTCATATCAACTGCTACAGTAAGATATCATTATTCTGACTTTACAAAACAAGGGTCTGAAATCAATCACATAGCTCTTAAATGGCAAATTGAGAATTTTAGGAGATTTGAACCCTGCCTTCTTTGCTTCCAAGGGCATTCTTTCCTCTACAGCCCAACACCTCACCATGAATATCATAATTTGCTTAATCTGTGGTTGGGTACTTCGAATATCCACTCCCACCCTCTCTTTTTTTTTTTTTTTTAACTAATATCAGTAACATTGGAAGTAACGTTTTGATGTATAAAACTCTGTTTCTATGATTATTATCCCCAAACAGAGCCTTAAAATTTGGATTATTGTGTTAAAGGCAATAACATTTTTAAGGCTATCTGTATATACTGTCAATTGCTTGTTTCAATGGGGTTGTCCAAATTATAATTCAATCAGCAGAGCATGAAGTCTCCTGCTTTACTGTATCCTTTAAAACAAATAACTTTGATTCATTTAATTGATGAAAAGTGATTCTTTGTTGCTAAGTGTTTGGGTTGTTGTTATAATTCACTATGTTTTAATATGCCCATTCTCCATTGGTACAGAGTGAACCTTACACAAGGGCTGGCTACGTCCTTGAACTAGAAATGGGAAGATGCAGGAATGGTCATTAGGCCTTTTCTTTCCTTTGTTCACTCAAGAGTCATCTGGCTCCTACTCCAGGCCAGGCATGTTGCTAGTGTTGGGGATATAAACAAAGTCCATCCCTGATGTCAAAGAGCTTGTGGACTAGCAAGAGAGACAGACACAGAAACTGTCAATTTTATTACAAAGTGACCAGCACTGTGGCCAAAGTAACAAGAGGAAAATGCTTTGGGAAATACATAGCAAGGCACCCAAACCACTTCAGGAAGGTCCTGGAAGCCTTTTTGGAGATGCTGGGGCCTGAGTTCCACCTTGAAATGAAGCAAAATTTAGCCAGCTTCCCCCTCACACCCATAATCAGAATTAATTGCTTCTTCATCAGTGTTCCCTTATCAGAGCACTTATAACAGGGTTTGTATTTATTTGCTACCATGTCTCTCACTTTGTCACTGGGCTGAGCTTTTTGACGGAGAGGGACCATATCCCTAATTAGCCTCGTACAATGACCAAAAAAGTAGTAGGGATGCAATAAACATTTATTAAATTATTTTGAAATTCTAGTCCTTCCATATCTTCTTCTTGACATTTTTATAAATATAAGTGATTTCTCTTTTTATTGTAGAAATAACACTGTTCACCACACATCCATCAGAAAGGCTAAAAGGAAAGGATGGAACATAATAAGTCTTGGCGAAGTATATGAGGTAACAGAAATATTCATACATCTCTGGAGGCAGTAGGAATTGGTACAACCACTTTGGAAAACTATTGGCAGCTTCTACTAAAGCTGGGTCTTAAGTACCCTATGACCTAGCAGTTCCACTCCTAGGTATACACTCAACACAAATGCATGCATGTGTTCACCAAGAGGCATCTTTTCATCAAAGCGGCGCTATTCTCCACAGCTCCACACTAGAAAATACGCACTCGTCAACAGTAGAATGGATAGACTTATTGTGATATGGTCACAGTGAGGAAAAAGAATCTACATTCAACAATATGAAGGAATTTCATGTAAATAATGTTGAGGACAAAGAGCCCGATTTTCTTTTTTAAAAAGTACTTACTGCATGAATACTTTTTTCTAAAGCATAAAAATGGGCAATTCTGAGAAGCAAGATGGCCAAGAGAACATCATTATTTGAAAAGTGTGGAAATCAGATACACACACTGTGTTGCCCCAGTGGCTCTAAGGCCTACCACCTTCAGAACGTCACCTGTGGCAAGTGCAGCTACCCTGCCAAGCCCAAGGTATAACGGGAATGCCAAGGCTAAAACACAAAATACCACCCGGACTGGTCGGATGAGGCACCTAAAAATCGTATGCTACAGATTCAAGCATGGATTCCGTGAAGGAACAACACCTAAGTGCAAGAGGGCAACTGTTGCAGTGTCCAGTTCATCTTAAAAATCTCAAAGATTAATCACATAATAAATGTTCTATTTTTTTAAAAAAGGCAAAACTATCCCATGCTATTAGACGTCAGGAAAGGTCAGTTGGGAGGGTTAGGGACTGAAAAGGAATGGGAAGAGGGAGCTTCTGGGAACGCTGGTAAGGTTCTGTTTCTTGATCTGGGTGCTGGTTCCACGTGTGTATTCAGTGTGTGCCTTTCTCTGTATGTATATTACACTTAGGTTTTTGTTTTTAAAGCATTACGTCTTATTTGAGAGAAAGCTGACAAATATAGATGTTTTAAAAATGTTTAAATTACCCACAATCCCACTATCCAGAGATAACTACTGTCAACATTTTGTATTTTTTCCTTCCAGTCTTTTGTTTAAGCCAATGTGCATATGCTCACTCCTCCCTATCCCCGTTTACACATACATTTTGCTAAATTAGGCTCGAATTTAGTGTTATTTCTGCTTTTTTATTTCTACTTAAAGTTAATTCATATCAAATATTCTTTGCAGGCATTTTATAAGCTGCTGCAACGTATTCCATTGAATGTATGTGATCTACATTTAATAAATTGCCCATTGTATATATTTTTTAATTAAAAAACCGAATCGGTCACAATATTACATACACACCCCTAGAAGAGGAGCTACTGGATCGTGAACATTCTTTAAGCTCTGTATTAGTTCTGTATTTCCCTCCAGAAAGGTTGTACCGATTAACAGTCCCACTGGCAAGGTGTGAGGGCTCCTTGTATCGCAACCCAAACCCAAGTCATTTAGCATAGTTTGTCGGTTTTCAAGACGGTGGGGCTCAAAGCAGGACTAAGAGATGCGACGTTTTGGACACGGCTGAGGCGCTCGGCCCCCGGGGCTTGGAACCGGCTCTCAGCACTCCTTCCCCTCCCAGGCGCGCGGGATCCCGACCAGACCCGGCCCGGCAAGGCCGCCCCGCGCGCGCCCGTGTCCTGCCGCGCCGCGCGCCGCCCGGTTGCCGTGGGAACCACAGAGCGCGGCTGTGCCCGCACGCCAGCCTGTGCCTGAGGGGCAAGGGACACTGAGGCAGGCATGGAGCTGCCGGATCCGGTTCGCCAGCGGCTGGGGAACTTCAGCCGGACCGTGTTCAGCGACTCCAGCCGGACAGGGCCGGAGTGCAGTGAGGGCCCGGGTGAGTGGCCGAGGCCCGGCGCAGGGGGTGTGGTCCGCCGAGGGCCTGGCGCCGGCTTTGCGGCGTCCAATATTTGCCCGGACCTAAAATGGTGGTTTCGCCTTCAGCCGGTTCTCCACGGCGCGGGGATCTCCGTGGAGGTGGGGCCGGACCGGGAGCTAGGGCTCGGACGCCTCCGGCCTCCCAACGCGGGCCGGGCCTTGGCTGGTCGTGCTGCCTCCTGGCCTACTCCTTGCAAGCGCGGCAGCTGAGGTGGTGCCAACCTTTGCACTGCGTGATGCCCAGCCTTGCTGGGAGGAGACCCAAAAAATAAAATATAAAAGCCACCCTCACAGCACACCCCGAGTCGCGCGCGCTCCGCAAAGGCGAAGGCCCACGCTGCTTTTCCTCCGCGAGCCCACCTTGGCTTTTCTGGCCAGATAGGGGGAACATCCCTGTCCTCCAACCCCCATCCCGGTGAAATATCTTTCCCTTTTCTCATTTCCGAGCAGAATAAGTACGTTCCTCCACAAGACTATTTTCTGGCAGAAGAGATGGAAAGAATTTTTTTTAATGAGTCATTTTAAACCCCGTTGACTCCAGCGTGGCATCTTCTAGACTAGAAAGGCCTTCTAACAAAACTCGCCTCTTCTCTTCCTTCTCCTTCCCTATGTATGTAACTCCTACCCTAAATCTGGTAACAAAATACCAGGATGCTACATTCAACTTGATGACAAGTGCTAGAGCAGTTTCCTCCTCGTAAACCGTGATGATAGCACACTGTAAACCAAACCCATGTGGTTTTCATCATTGAACTCTGCTGAGAAATAGTTTCCTCTTTGGTTTTAAATTTTACATTTAAAAGGGGGCAGAGAAATGTAAAATCAGTTCGCATAGTTGCATTTTTGTTACCTTGATCATTTGCCTGTCCTCCAAGTATAGGCCTTTTTATGATTTAGGATGTAGCAAGCAAAACATGTGAAAAATTAGGTTTTCACGTTTCTAAGTCTGAGACTTAATAGGCACTAAAATCCCATAATACAAGGTCAGCAGACCTGTTCTGAAAAGGGACAGAAAGTGAATATTTTAGACCTTTGTGTGCAGTTTGGTCTCTGCAGCAGCCATAGGCAACAGTAATTGAATAGGCATGGTTGTGTTCCAATAAAACTTTATGGACACTGAAATTTGAATTTCATATGGTTTTCACATGTCACACAATATTACTTTTAACCATTTAAGCATGTGAATAACCATTTTTAGCTCACTGAACAAAAAGTTAGCTGGCCAGTAGTTTGCCTACCCCAGATTTGTATTATATGTTTTAATTTAAATTCCATTTACAGAACTCAACATGAACTTTTGCAAAATTTTGTAAATTCATGTCTTATGCTTTCAAGATTTATTTACATATAACTTAATTTTTCAGTTGCATGATTATAAGTTTGATCTGCTGAAATATGGACATAGCATAACTTTTAAGACGTTCATGTACCAAACTTCTAACATAAAAACCATTCTTTGCAAAATATGACTATAGTTTCTGCTCGAAAGGCACTAAAATTTTCAGCTTGCCCAATTTATCATTATTGATCCACATTTTCTTCTTTGTGGATCTTAAGTAGGTTTGATCATTTGTACTGTAATAACACATTTATATTATTACCATGTCCACAGCATTATATTATTGTTATGAAAAAAAATCCTAAGCTGGTGAGTTGTCTTCAGATTTAAGATTTTAAGAATCATTCCTTTATCAGTGGTAATTTAATAAATAGGTGCAAGCAAAAGTAGATCATCATCCTGGGCAGCATAGTGAGACCTCCCCCCCCATCTCTAGGAAAAAAAAAAAAATTAGCCAGACATGGTAGCCTGCGCCTGCAGTCTCAGCTGAGGCTGAGACAGGAGGATTGCTTGAGCCAGGAATTTCAGGTTACAGTGAGCTATGATCAGGACACTGCACTCCAGCCAGAGTGCAGCCTTGGTGATAGAGCAAGACCCTGTCTCAAAAAAAAAAAAAAAAAGATAATAATCAGGCATATTCTTGGAGCTAAAGGAAACCATCTTGCTGTGAGAGACCATGATTATTTTTTATATTTTAACATTGTTAAATGACATAAAAAATAGCTGTGGGGAAAAAGAAGAAATAATGTTTTTAAGAAATTTATTTTAGAGCCTTTGTAAAATATTTTATTTGGAACAATTGATTTCAAAATATGTATCTTCTCTTAAGAATTTAGTCAAATTCAGGATTTATTTTGTAGGGCTCAATTTTAAAAATCAAATTCTTAATTTAGGACCCTTCTTCCTTACATAAAAGCAAAAGGTATTATGTAATCAACCTTAGATAAATGGAACTCACGTACCACAAGTGGCTACATTGGTGATGTCCTTATGACAGTATGATTTCATTAATTTGATCTTTCTGCTTATTTATATTTGGTATTTACTTCATGTAAAGCAAGATGCTAGGTTCTATGAGGGTCTCAAATTTAGGTAGGACATGGTCTGTGCTTACAGTGAGACTATATATAAGTAGATGAGAAGAAGGAAAGGGGACTAATATTTGTTGAGTGCCTACTAAGTGTGCCAGGCGTGGTGCTATGGTGGAATAATTATCTCTAATCCTCACAAGCAACTTGTGAGGTAGTATTGATGTTATCATTTTACAGATGAAGAAATTGAGGCTCAAAGAAGTTAAATAATTGATCTCAAGTCTGGCATCCAGGGTCATGGGGGTTTGGGGAGCTCTGGGTTTACTTGAACTCTGAAGCCCATGATGTCTTCAGTATACCAGACTGTCTTAGGTGAGGGGAGTGTGGTTCTTTGCCAGCCCTTCTTATACACAGTTTAGAGTGATAAGTACCTAGAGGGGAAAGAGATTTCTGCTGGGGTGGGGGGAATATGATCAAGTAAGGACTGATGGAAAAGGTGGCATTGAATTGGACATTAAAGGATGGCTGAGATTAGGGTATACTGAAAAGAGAGATGTGTTTAATTATAATCTGGGGAAATTAGCTTTTGTATGAATTTAGAATATATATGAGAGATTTGTTTTTATGTGTTTTATGTGTTCATTTTATAGGCTCTTTATATAGAACTCTACAAAGGAGGCAATGATAATTATCTGTTCAATAGGATTTATATTGATATTTCTCATTTAATCTATAATCGTAGTGTGCAAAAAAGTCAGCAGACTATAATGGCAAAAGGGTAAAGTAATTGAAAAATACGAAACGTACCCCCAAGTAGCCAGTCTTTGAACTACATGGTATTAGGATGAATGTTCCTTTCACTGTCAATGATTATAAATAGGCTTAAAATGTGCAGTTTTATTGAGCCAATATTATAGTTATTAATTCTAAGAAACAAAAGGACATGTAGGGCATAGACCAGGATTAAGAATTTGCTCCTTTTCTATTTCTTCTATAGATAATGAGATGGTCTCCAGTTTGGCATTGCAGATGTCACTTTATTTTAACACTTACTTTTTCCCACTTTGGTGGGTAAGCTGCATTATGATGCTTTACATAAAGGTATGTATATGCTTTAATATTTCTGCGAGGCCTCTTCTGCCCATTCCTGACGTTGTTACATTGTCAATGAAATTAAAGTTCTTAATATTTTTTCTGTCCCAGGTCAGTGTTACTATATGTAAGATTTTACAAACACATTTTGGCTTTTTTTTTTTTTTTTTAGTATTCAATTTTGCCTGATTACTACAAATTCATTGTGATCACTGTTATCATCCTAATAACCTTAATTGAAGCCATCCGATTGTATCTGGGCTACATGGGTAACCTACAGGAAAAGGTAAACTCATCTTTCTCTCAGTGCTATACATAAATGCAGTAAGGTTTTCATAGCAAATAAAAGGCAGTGGGGTGAGGTGGAAAGAGCACAGGCCTGAATTTAAGGCCTGGCTCCAATTTTATCGCTCTGTCACTGTGGTCTGTTCACTTAATCTCTTGAGCTCTGGTTTCCTCATATATAAGATATGGAAAATAATATTTACTTTATAAGTTTGTTGTGATTAAGTGAAATGATTTATATAAAGTACCTGAATGTAGTAAGCACATAAGAACTGATAGTTTTCCTTCTTATCAGTCTTGAAAATACGTGGTCAACTAAACATGTTTATTTGGATCCTGAATAAGAAAATGGGGGGAAATTATAAACTCATTTCCTATGCCAGGCCTATGTTTTGTACATCATCATGCTGCCTAAGCGTTTACAGTTACCAGAGTGTAGGGATAGTACGTAAACATTTCTGTGGTTTTTTAGGCCCTTCATAATTAGGCTCCACCCAGCCTGCCTTACTGTAGTTCTAGCTTTTTCTAACCCCGCGGTCCATTCCAGGCTGACGTGTTGATCCCAGCCATGCTTGTTTCACACGTTTGCTTACTTACCTTTTTGCCTCTTCCTCCTTCCACACGATTTCACAAGCCTATATCCTTCAAGTCTTTCTTTCACCTACCCTAATCACTTTGTAATATTTCTTGTAGCATTTAGTCTGTGTGTCTAAATGTTGCATTTGATTATTCACTAAAGTGTGGTGTCCTAGGGTTGTTTTACATGTTAGTTTTCTCATCTAGACTGAGTTCTACCACCATGTCATCCTCATTCGGAATTACTAACAGAGCTCATAATGTAGGTTCACAGTAGTAATTGTACTTGTTTCTCTGTATAAACAAAAAACATTTTACTGATTTTATTACATCTGATGTGTATCATTGCAGGTTCCTGAGTTGGCTGGCTTTTGGCTTTTGAGCCTTCTGTTGCAGTTGCCTTTAATTCTTTTCTTGCTCTTAAATGAAGGCCTAATAAATCTGCCTTTGGAAAAAGCAATACATATCATCTTCACCATCTTCCTAACTTTCCAAGTTGTTGCAGCATTTCTTACCTTGAAGAAAATGGTCAATCAGTTGGCAGTTCGTTTCCACCTCCAAGACTTTGATCGGCTCTCTGCAAACAGAGGAGACGTGGGAAGGATAAGGTCAAGTATAGAAGAGATCTAATCTAGTGCTGTTGAGTGAAAATCTGAAAGATCATTCTAGAAGACTGCAAGAGTTAGGAAAATATCAAAGGTCTAACATGAGAAAAGGTACAAAGCAAGTGTTTTGAATTGTATACTCTCTAGATCTGAAATTCCAAGGTTAGGGGCAATGATAATATTTTACACAGTACCTGAAAGCAGTATATTAACCCTAAAATCTAGATGTTGTCCACCTGATGCCAAATTTCTTAAATTTTTTGATGTTGTTCACTTTTTCAGGTGTGTAGAAATCTATTGGTGATTGTAGTTTACTAGCTTTACTGTAATATTTATAATATTACTATAATATTTACCGTAATATTTCCAGTTAGGATCTATAGCTAGAAATGTGTACATTTCTTTTAAACTTGGTTAGCCATATCTTGGCTGTACCTCTGACCATGTTTCTTGAAGTACATGGAAATGCTAGTCAGTATTCTTACGTATTAGACTATATTTATAACCCAAAAGATCAAATTTTCATGTCTGCGAGGGTTAAATTGTAACCCTAATCTTAGCTGTTATATGGAGGTTAAAAAGAAAACAGGTGGATTGTCATGGTATTTAGGAAATATTTTTGTCATAAAATTGTAACTTTCATAAAACCATGTTTGGTACTTATGGTGGTATATAAAATGTTTTTACAATAAATTATAAAATATTTATGTTAAAGTGTCAGCAACAAATCATACTGTCTTGTGCAGTTCTTTTGGGTTATGGGTTTGTTATTTTTATTACAGAGTTGCAAGGGAAGGAAGGAGAAAAAAACAAATACTAGCCTTCTGTGTAGGGGGCACTGTAGTAGGCACATTAAGTTAGCCTTGTGATCTCATCTACTGGATCATTGTTCATTAAAGAACTGCTTCATTCCCATTAAGTTCATGTGAGGCTTGCTTTGGAAATCAGAGTGCCTATTAATACTAATAAGAGCTAAGATGGTCAAAGGAACTATACTCAAGATCCTAAATGAACATGTTCCCTTGTTAATAGGGGAAACCTATTTAAGGAAATTTGATAAGAACAAAATTGCTTGGGTGAACATTATTTTAAAGTGATTATTGGATTGTCTTAAGGGATATAATATTTTTATTACAGGTTTTCTTCTTTCCTATAGGGAAATGTGCCTTTATAAGTAATATATTTTACTGAGGGACAGTTGTAGCTACATTAAAAATTATTCTTTCCAATTTTCTTTTTTTACAATTCATGCTCTCTTAGGATTTCCATGTTTTGCCTTATCCATTCTTACACTGCTGAATTTTTTTAAATGTCTTCACTTCCCATTCACTCTTGATTATACCTTACCAATTTATGCTAACATTATTATTTCTGTACTTGAGTATTATATATAAAGTTCAGCCAAAGATTTTTCCCCACATGCAGTAGCTGATTAATCTTTCCCCTATGCCAAAGTAGTCACTAGGTGTACTCTAATAATTTGAAATTAAAAATAGAATTCTCTTTGAATAGTTTTCTAAAACTTGTATTTGTTTGCATCTGTTTCCCATATAGGAGTAAGTAGGTGATTCTATAAGAAAATTAAATCTACAAAACAGATAAATTAAGGGATGATTGAGAAAGACTTTCCTATTTCAAGATTGTTTCCAGAGTTTTGTTTTAAATAGTAGAGCCTCTGGTACATTTAAACTTGAATTTAGGATTAAGAGATTAATAACTAAAATGTCAGTCATAATCATAAAAATTTTTAAAGACCTTAAAATGGATTTATTAAAATTTTCAGGTAATTTTGCTATAATAAACATATTGTTTAAAAATGCAGATAAAGTAAGGGTGGGAAAAAAGAAAGTAAATTGAGACCATGACCTGGTCATTTATTTGTTTGTTTTTAATCTAAACAATAAAACCATGGATTTTGTGTTTGAACCAATATTTTCTAGGAGTATAGCTGTTTCCCTATGTAAGTATATGAAAATTGAAGTAGAGAAGATATTTACATGTCAGCACATTTAGGGGTTAGGCAGCCTTTATTTTAATTTTATTTGACTATGTTTGTCCATCATTAATTCCTGTTATATCCTTCTCTCCAAGAGTTCACAACAGTGTTCTAAAATTTTTAGTTAAATTTTGAGCTTCACAAATATTTTTTCCTTTACATATTTATTCTTCCAGAGGTTTTTTCTCATCAGAGACAAGGTAGGTATGAATTTCTATAAATCAAAATGATTTTAAAATATTGAAACTTGTTAATTTAACGTATGTTTGAACACCTAGTATATGTAAGGAGTAGTGGAGGGTTCATAGACAAGACATGCTCCCAGTTTGTAGGAGTATGATGTAGAAGGTAAAACATTTGCACGATCCTAAGACAAAGTAGAAAAGTTTATCAGGGAGGCACATTGAATGAAGTTTCTGCTTGATAAGTATCTGAAAAACAACAGGCCCTTGCCTTCCAGTGCATCTCCCCATCTGTGTTCCTAGCACTTGGTATCCCAGGATTAGCACGTTAGCCCTTCATCAATATTATTTAGCATTCACCATGCTCCACATTGTCCAAGGGGGCGGGGTTGGCATTCAGGTTAGATGCATACACTCTCACTCCCACTTGCCTGTACAAACAGTAAGTTCACTGTCTGGTAGAAAAGGCAGATAAGCAAATCAGTGATGGTGCGGTTGTGATAGCGTATTGTAGGATTATAGAGCAGGGACATCTAAATGAGATTAGAAATCTGGAAAGCCTTCCCAAAGAAAGTGACACTTGAGATTTGAAGAATGGGTGGGTATTAAGTTCAGTATTAAGAGACAGAAATAATAGTGACTGTGAGAACTGTCTCAGGTACTACAAGTATTTTGGTGAAGCTGGTAGAAAGGCTGCATGAGAAGAAACAGCACAGAATAAAGTAGAGAAGCTTGGAAGGTGCTGGAAAGCTAAGCTAAAGATTTGAATATATTCTGAATCCCTGACTAAACAGTGGAGTAACACAAACAGACTTAGGTTTCAGAAAGATCTCCTAGAAAACAGTGTGAAAAATGGATTGAAAGAGTTGGACTAGAGATAGAGCAGTAGGAATGTGATGAAATAACTTGAGAGAGAACAAGCTGGCCTGGATGAAGTCAGTGGCAGTAAAATAAATTTGAATAGAACCTACTAAAATTTTTAAAAATAATTTTATATTTTAAAATAGATGTTGGGAGTTTTTTTCCTAATTCATCCTTTCGCAGATGACCCATAAACAAAATGACATACTCACTTTCTTATTGCTCCCCGTTCAGTTATTAGACTTAAATAGAGCTCTATCTGAAATAATCTTTTATAAGTTTTATTTGATATAACCTACTAAAATGATTCTTTATTTGAGTTAGTTAAGATTATAGTTTTTAAAATTTGAAATGTATAAAATCACAAGATTTGGGGAGTAAAGAAAAATCATCTATAATTCCACCACCTTAGAATAAGGCTGGGTGTAGTGGCTCATGCCTGTAATCCCAGCACTTTGGGAGGCTGAGGTAGGAGGATCGCTTGAGGCCAGGAGTTTGAAACCAGCCTGGGCAAAAGTAAAAAAAATTAGCTGGGCATGGTGGCACACGCCTGTAGTCCTAGCTACTTGGGAAGCTCGAGGCAGGAGGATTCCATGAGCCCAGGAGTCGAAGGCTGCAGTCAGCCATGATCACACCACTGCACGCTGGCGTGAGCAACAGAGTGAGACCGTGTCACCAAAAACAACAACAACAACAACACACCCCACTATTAGCAAATGTCATGTTTCTTGGAAGTTTTTCCTTTGTAAATGCTTTTTTAAAACATAGTTGTGAGCGTAGGTACTTATCATTTTGCACCCTGCTTTTCTGAAAACATTAAATGTATTTATCCATGTTTGGTTACCTATGATAGTTACATAGTCACAAAACCATCATCTTAAATGATGGCACATTATTTCATCAAATGGATGGACTGTAATTTAACTTCTCTCCTATTGTTGGATATTTGTGTTGTTTTCTTCTTTTGCTTTTATATATAATATTGTAATGAACGTCTCATGCATGTAGCTTTTTTCATATCTTAGATGATTCTTTTTAATCAATAAGCCAGATTCTTAGAAGTGAAATTACTAGGTCATAAAGTATGAACATTTTTAAGGACTCTTTATGGATATTGGCAAATTATAATATCCACTTTCTGCCATTCACCACCCACAATTCTAAAAATAGTACAATGAATATTTTGACAAGGACAGACTTATGGACTTTAGTTACCTATTTGTCTTTGTATTTCTGAGTAGCTACCACAGGAACACAGAGTCTCCTGAGAAGGGAAAAAAGTCTAAAAGCTGTGAAAGGAGAATTGCAAAGAATTAAAAAAAAAAAAAGAGTTTTGAATTAAGGGAAAACTGATAAGGGACAGAAAAAGGATTAGGCAAGCTGGTGGCAGTCAGCAACAGACAGTGAGATGTGACACAATAAAAACTGGGTCATTGAGTTGGGACAGCCCTAGGACATAAAAAGACTGAAATGAAGTAAAGCTCTGGATTACTTTGTTCTTGAATATTGAATTTTTTCAGAAGCATGGAGCATGAAATGTTATAGTGATAAGCCAAGATTGGAAATATAGCCAAGAAAAAGAGGTCTTTAAGGGATTGTTTAAAATGTGCTGAAGGAATAATTTGGTTTGGTCTTAAACAGCTCCAAAAGTAAATTGACATAAAGCTTTTGCATAGCAAAATAGGCATGGAGGCAGAAAACAATGGGCAAACAGAATAGTTTACCCTGTAAATTTGTTAGCATGTAAAATGTTAGATTTTGGTCATAGAAAAGGTTTACCAGAAAACTTGTATGCTGTATTTTGTAAGTGCAATTAACACTAATTTGTTATGAATATCTGTCTTTATTCTAGTTTTAAGAGACTTAAAAGTGGGTGTTTTATTAATAAGTCAATTTTTAAAAAAAAGTAAATAGTTACTAGGCCATTGTAAAAATCATTCTAAAAATCAATTCCTCCTAGCATTTAAAAATGTTCAGGCCCTAGAA